TCCCGCTCACTCTAGCTTGGCCCCACGCGAGGGCCGCGCGGAAGGGCGAGGAGGAGGAGCCAGGGGGAGGAGGGGAGGAAGGTGAGGTGGGGGAGGGGGCCGGGAAGGACTCGCTCGGGAGGAGCCGAGGGCTCCTCGCTAAAGTGCCCGCAGCGCCCGGAGGCGTCCGGAGGCCCTGATGCTGGCAGAAGACGAGGAGGCCTCTAGGAGAACCGCGACGACTTCAACGATGACGCAATAGGCATGCAAAATTATACATATGTATTTAAATTCCACCCGGAAAGCAGGAGCCATCCCATTGGCCTCTAAGTGCACAACGGAACTAGGAAGCAGGAAGAAAGAAAGGCCAAGAGGGTTAAAGACAAATGTTTGAGGCGTGCAGAGTGGTGGGGGAAGGGTGGTGGGGTCCCTGGGCTGGGAGGCAGGGACTCCTGGCTTAATGCTTGGTCTCCCACACCCCGGCTTTCATAACACGAGCTTAAATCGTTTGCTATGAAACTGGTGACTAAGGGAGATAAAGCATGTTGAACTACTACTGAAACACCCCCAACCAGCCAGAAAAAGGAGACCCGTGGGTTCTGGGCCCCGCAGATATACCTGTGCTCCCCCTGCAGGCGACATTCTTCGAGGCCCCCATTCGGTCCCGTGTGTCCCTGGAAAGTATTGGGTTGTGATCCCTGAGAAGTGATACACCCTCGTGCTCTATGACTTGGCCTGTGATGTAGGCAACAACCCCTGCCCCTGTATGGCAAAGCTTGGAAACACCCGTCTGGCCAGGTCCTGTTCACTGGCCAGTAGTGCTGCTTTGAACATTGGGCACTGGGGGTGGGGATGCGCTTCTCGCTGGCACCGCACACCACACCCCCGACCCCTTGCTGACATGAGATAAATCGCTTCCTTTCATCGATTCACACACAGCATTAGAAAATGCTGCGTTGAGAGACAGTGCAGAGGTCGACTGGACCATCAGCCTTAGATTTGTACGTGTGTAAACTGAGGCCTAGAGAGGTGAATAGGTGATCCCAAAGGCTTCCACTACTCACAGCATGCAAAGACTTGAAGCACACTTTGGGAAGTACTCACTGTTGTCCCCATTCCTGGCTTCCCAGGCCTCAACTCTCCAACCCGAATCGGATCTCCACGTTCCTAGGAAGACTCGGGGGATTATTCAAAGTTCCTTGCAGATTAACACTGAGCATCTCACCAGACCCTGCCCTTTGTCCCTTTGAGTCTGAGTGTGGGTGTTTGCATTGCCGGCTGTTTTAGATTGTGCAATGAATCTGGAAGATACTTTGTTTGTACTGAATGACAAGTTATGGAAGGCAGTACAGTGCCTTGAAGTCAGATCTTGGTTCAAGGTCAGTCTCTGCCATTCCTCTTAGAGGGGAAGAGGGCAGGTCTTGCCCTATTCTTTGCCTGCAGGACCATTTGTTCAGGCAGCCTTTGCTGGGACTAGTACTCCGAGAGGAGAGTCTATCAGAAGAGGTTAAGGAGCTACTGGAGGGCACTCAGCCAGGAGAGCTGAATTTGATCCCAGCTCTGACACTAGTTAGCAGGGTTACCTTGAGCATGTCACTTCCCTTCTCTGGACCTCTGTTTTCTCATCTATAAATGTGAGCTCATCTCACAGGGAGAAGCTCTGGGAATGTCAGAGCACTCCAAGTGGGGAAATGTTGGATGAATCATGCAGTGTTGACTTCATTGATGACAGTGACCTCATTCTTTTGGTCCATAGAGATGCCAAGACTGACTGCCAGGAATACTTAGAGTTCTGAGGCTGGTCCCACCTGGTGTGTATGTGGGGTGGGGAGGGGGAATTATCCTACACAGCAGCCCATGAATGCTTTAGCTGGAAGGACCAAATAGACCTCAACAGAAACCTCCCTATCCCTTGGGCAAAGAAGATAATGCCCCAAGTGGTAAAAAACAGTTCTCAAATGTCAAGGATTTGAAGGACAGGAAGCAACTTTGTTCCTAAGCGTCCCATAGGCTCTCTGCTTGCTTTTCTCTTTTTGCCTTAACTGTGAATGTGGAAACAGACACAGGTCTGTGTGAGAACAGTGAACTTTCTACTTAGCCTTCTCCTTTTCTTTTTCCGCTACTCCCTCCTTCCTCCTCTTCATTGATTCATTATTTCATTTAACAAGCATGTATTGAGGTCTACTAGATGCCAGGCTTTATTCCTGGGCAGGGGATGAAGAGCCTGGAAGCCAACAGTCACTGGAGGGGGGCGGAAAGGAACTGATGAGCAAACAGATAATTACTATATAATGTGATCAGTGCTGTGGCAGAGAATAAAGAACAGGCTTCTGGAAGTGCAGAAGAGGCGTGTACGTAGCTCTGGGTGTGCTGAGAAAGGATTTGCAGAAGTGTTGTCATTGGCCTGGGGCTTAAGAGGCTAACAGGAGTAAGGAAAGAATGCCTGGGAAAGGCAGAGAGCTCTGCACCAGTGCAGGAAAGAGTGACACACAACTCCCTGGGAATGGAGAGCTGTCTAAGGTGGACAGAGGGCAGGGTTAGTGGTGCTGGGGAACTGGATTGTACTTCATTGGGAACCATATAATGCAGCCAGTCCCTGGGCTTCTAAAAGCCATGTGAAGGAGAATGCAGGGCCCCACCCAGGCTGGGCAGTCTGTGCACCGAACGAAAGTGAAGGACCAGGGTGCAGGAGACCACTGAGGGAGGATCTGGCCCATGCACTACCCACAAGGCACAACTCTGGCTCAAGGCCACATTCATTGTAAGAACAGGCACTTTTTTCTTATCACAATGTGACTTCTGTTTGTCAAACCCTATACCCATAGGGCTACATCCACTCAAAGGGGGACATGTTTTTCTACTTAGCAAAAGACAAAGGCACTACGGAGGTGAGCAGTGGCCCTGAGAGCAAAGATGTGATGAAGTGAAGGAACAAGAATTTGCACAATACCTGCTGTGCACTGCAGCTGTGTACACTACCCAGACACTGTCCTGGGTACCTGATGCTCATTGATGTAGGTCATCTATTTCATCCTCAAAACAACCATGCAGGTTAAGACTTGTAGAGAATATCTAATGGTTTATCTATCTAGAACAGCATCATTTGCTTCCACTAAATGTTCTTTCTGATTTAATCTCTGTAATCATGTGGTTAAATGAAAGCTGTTGTCTTCTCGCACAACCTGTCCTGGCACCTGTTGATTAGCCCTAGGTGGGCACCTGATTCCAGATGGGACAATCAAAGCCCTTTCTCAAAATTTGAGATGCACAACAGGAATTTCCCCTCTTTTACTAACTAAACTGTACAATGCAAGCTTGGAAGCTGTCAGCAATTCATATTTTGGCCATTCACAAAACAGACAATCCAAGAAAATGAAGCTAAAGTGCATAGAGAAGCAGAAATGGAGAGATACCTCCCTCCCTCCCTGCTGTGGATTGGGAACTTGTGTCCCCCAAAGTCCATGTATTAGAAACTTAATCCCCACTGTGACAATGTTAAGAGGTTGGGAATTTTTTATTATGGTAATTGAAAGGTGGGGCCTGGAAGGGGTGATTAGATTGTAGGACCCTGCAGTAGTGAATGGATGAATAATGGTGGTCAGGGGCGTGGTCCTGAGGGCTTTAAAAGGACAGCACATGAGAGTCTCTCCCTGCTCTGCCATTCTGCCGTATAAGACCCCTGCATCACTGTCACCACCACCAAGGCCTTCACCAGATGTGTTCCCTGGATTTTGGACTTCCCAGTCCCTGAAACTGCAAGCAATACATTTTGTTTTCCTATAAATTGCCCAGTTTCAAGTATTTGTGTTATAAGCAACAGAAATGTACTAATAGATACCCCTCTTTCCACATCAAAGGCAGAGAAGAAACAGGCCATTTGTGAGTTCTTGAGTCCAGTTTTCCCTCAGACCATTGCACTACTGTTCTTCAGTTGGTCACTTGAGTTAATAAATTACCTGTCCCCCTTTCTGCCTAGTGAGTAGGGTTTAGTTTTCTGTCACTGGTAATCAAAGGAATCCTGACTGTTGCAGTATTATCACTTATAGTTGGGATATAAGTGCCCAGAAATTAAAAACCTTACCCAAAGTCACACAGTTGGTAAGAGGCAGAGCTAGGTTTCAAAATGATCCTCTTTGAAGTTCATGCTAGTTGCTGTGTTCCACAACGATGAGGTATTAAAAGTTTGAGTAGGGAAATGACAAGTTCAGGTTTCCCATTTGAAGATCGCTCTGGGACTGGGTAGAAAGTAGATTTGGAGAGTATGAGAGGGAAGACAGGGAGAGTGAGCAGGTGAGAGATCATGACTCACAAGTGGCCTGTTTCCTCTCTGCCTTTGGGGGAGGGGGTATCTGAACCATACTCTGAATCCCTAATTCTTGGCTGGACTCTTCTCCCTCTCTAAAACTCCTTCTTAGAAATTATTGCTAAGAAGGTAAAATGATGATCCTTTCGCCCTGGTACTGCCCTGCTCTTCTATTATGTTTCTTTCTTCCACACATGCCCAATATCTTCAGGCTGCAGACTCCACTCCCCAGGGCTCTCCTGCTGCCCAGACTCCACCTGGCTTTCCATACAGTTTCGTGCCATATGCCATACTAGTCCTTCCCACCACTAAAACCTCCCATCTGCACCCTTTTCTTTTAGGGCCTAGATTTAATGTGCATTGCATAATATTTTGAGCTAAGGTATTAATGGCTTAAACACTGCAGCAGTTTCTTAAAGGTCAATGGTCCCTAATGATCAGAATAATGAACAAATCCAATAAGATTGGCTCTCTTGGTTTTCATTTCTAGTTAGAATATATCTAGATCTCTTTTTTCAGTTCATTAAATACTAGAAACTCAGAAGTATGCCCAGCCTCTGAGAATGTTGGCTTGAGCATCCTTAATAATGTTTTGCCATCTTCATTTCTAACTGTCTTCTGCTGCATCCTTAGGTCAGGAGACCAGTCATTGTGATTGATGGCATCACCACCCACTGCTGTAGTAGAAAAGGACACTTTCTTAGAGGTTGCTGTTATGGAATACTCATATAATCTGGGAGTGGTCCCCTCCCACAAGCTCCAAAGGAGGTTGGATCACAGATACATCTTCTAGAAATGAAATTAGTGATTTTATTTCACGCTTCAGTACTAAGAGTGTTAGAAAATCATCCAAGACTCACTTATGGTTGTTCCTCTATAACGAATGTTTTGGCCCCTAAACATCAGAACCACATTTTGAGTTTGGAGAATCTTCTACTTTGTGAGTCTTGGTGGGAAGAAAAGAGCAACATTTTAAAAAGCTAGAAACTACAGATTCTTTCTTTGCTTGTCACACTCAAGAGCTAGAGCAACTAGCATTAAAGCACACACTCTCTCTGGAGGTTGTTGTTTTATTGGTGGGTACACAACTCTGTTCCTGACATAGGAAGTGGTACATCAGGGCAGGTAGTGGTGGTGGTTGTGGTATAATTGAGTTCCTGGTTCAGAAGTGACAGCTGTACACATGGGTCGTCTAGAGTATGGTGACAACAATGTTAACGGAATTGGTTTGCTCATCAGGGTAGTTCCTGAGATGTGTTGGGTATCATTCCTGTCCTGAGTAGCTTCTCTAGCCCTCCCACAATCCTGGGGAGCTACCCATGATCCTTTAAGAGGCCTTTTCTGTTTAATCAGCCACAGACAGCTTCCTT